TATATCTCTGTTTTGTCTAGGTGGCCAACTGTGGTGCACAACCACAAAGAACATGATGGAGGGCGAGGAGCTGGTGGCATTTGCTGTGGACTTTGACTCACGTCTGCAAGCAGTGAACCACATGTCTCTTAGTGAGGGCATGTACCCAGCCAGGCTGCTGGACAGCATCCAGCTCCTGCCTCAGCAGGCCGCAATGGCTTCCATCCTGCCTACTGCCATCGTCAATAGTAAGTGTCCATGCATACTGACACAAATGCACATATACCGAGCTGGAAAGAGACTTGCACAATCACACGTACATTTTTATGTTTCTTTCTCTATTTCCGTCTCACACATGTACTGATTCAAAGCCTGCACTCAGTCACCTGCTTAACAAGGAGCGTTGTCTCCCCAGTCGTAGATTATCCCAGATGAGTCACCGCACTGAAGATAACAGCCATTGACCTTCAAGTTTTGGGTTCAAATAAACACACTCAAACTAATGTGTTGATTGCAAAAAAAGCACGTCCCATGCAAATAGTGTGTTTGTTTACTTAGCAAGGGCTATCTGGGTTCAGCTCAACAGGGAGGCTTCTGTAAGCAGATGGTCCAGTGTTCTTGTTTGCCCTTGAGAAAGGGCACCAACCCAGCAGCCGAAACAGCGGTTTATAGCAGCAGCAGAGGATTTGCTGAAAAAGCCTTATAACACAGGCATTGAGAGTCACTGTAAGAGTAAAGAATAGTGTGATGTATGTATGAAAGTGTGTACGCTATTTCTCTTGCTTTTTATGTATAAATGTGAAAGTATTGTATACATTGAGCTGATATCATGTCCCCTTGTACATCTCCTTGCCCCTCAGAGGACATCTTTCCTTGCAAGGCTTGTGGAATTTGGTTTCGGAGTGAGAGGAACTTGCAGGCCCATCTGATGTACTATTGCAGTGGGAGACAGAGGGAGCCAGACACAGCCATGGAGGAAAATGACACAGGTCCCCACCTTACTCCAAGTATCTGCCCCTTCCCACAGTGCAACAAGAGCTTTCCAGGAGCCAGGGCCCTGGAAATGCACTTGAACACCTCACACAGTGGTGAGTGCAACTAACATAGACATAGCAGGATGTACAGGGTTCAAAGTTATACTTTTTTTCACTTAACAAATCATATATTTCTATAAATACGGTTGTTAAAGGTGGCTACTATTAGTCAATGACTAAAAAAGGGGGGGGCTTAAATGTTGTTTTTAAAAAAAATAATACACATAGATACAGCGTGCAAACATTGGGAAAATGACATATCTCTGTCATTCATTTTATTTTCCCTTTCTTTTTTAGAAATGCACCTTGCTGTCAGCTAGTATAGTGGAGAGCTTCTTTACAATATAAGTTAGTTGGGCTTGGCATTATGCATGAGGGTCTGATGGCTTGTACAGTCAAGTCGAAAGGAAAAGTGTGAGGCAAGATTCTGAGCATTTCTTTCATTTATCTCTTTCACAGGTGTCAAAATGGAAGAGAGCCTCCCTCCTGGCACCAGCTTGAAATGCACAATCTGTAACTACACAGCAGATTCTCTTATTACATTCCAACATCACATCATGTCTCACCTGTCACAGGCGGCCTTCAGATGCAATCACTGCCATATCAGCTTTCAGAGCCACAGGGAACTCTTACAGCATCAGGACTTACATGGGCATGGCAGCAAACTTCACAGGGAGGGAGACGGCACCGAGCATTCCCCAAGGGGGTCTGAGGAAAGCCTCCAGCAGCAGCAGGCCCGTGCTGAGCTGGCCAACAGGAAGGATGCTCTGCTGGGAAGTCCCAAAGGGGCCCTCAACAAGGAGGCCAGCACAGATACAGAGGCTGACAAGGCTGAGAAGAAGCCCATGCTGTCTGTTCAGAAGGGAGAGGCCCTTCAAGGCAACAAAGCCAGTTTTTCTTACACCAGGATCAAGTCTGAGCCCTCCAGTCCCAGGCTGGCCTCCTCCCCTGTGCAGCATAACATGCCTACATTTCCCATGGGCCCTTTTTTGTCACAGTTTGCTTTCTCCCAAGACATTTCAGTTGTCCCGCAAGCTTCTGAGATTCTGGCTAAAATGTCAGAGCTAGTTCACCGGAGGCTGCGCCATGGAGGAAACAGCTACCCCCCTGTCATCTACAGTCCTCTTATGCCCAAAGGGGCCACCTGTTTTGAATGCAATATCACCTTCAGCAACCTGGACAACTATTTGGTTCACAAAAAGCACTACTGTAACAGCCGCTGGCAACATATGGCGAAGTCCCCGGACTTCTCCGCCCTTTCAGATAAGGTCCCAGAGGCACTAAGCCCCAACAGTGGTCACAGTTCTGTAAGCATGTTGGCAGGCTGCCACCCAACAGAGGCTGATAATCACCTCATGCAGTCTGCCTGTCTGAACTCAAATGTGTTGGATATGATCAGTGCCGGAGCCAAAGGGGCTGATAAGGATCTTGCAGGTCAGGGGAAGAAGGTCTCTACTCCAACTGGGGCGGAGGAGCGGCTGAATGGCAAGCAAATGGAGGGCAAGAGCCCCAGTACAGGTTTGGTGGAGAGTGACAATGACCCAAACAAAACCACCTGTGAAGCCTGCAATATCACCTTCAGCCGTCATGAGACCTATATGGTCCACAAGCAGTACTACTGTGCCACCCGCCATGACCCACCTATGAAACGGTTGTCCACCAACAAGGTACCCTCCATGCAGAGAACCATGAGAACACGCAAGCGCAGAAAGATGTATGAGATGTGTCTCCCTGACCAAGACCACCAGAGGCCCCCTATGGTTCAACCAGGTTTTCTTGGGGTTTCTCCTATAAACCCTTGTACATCCCATGAAGCTGTAGAGAGCCTAGCTGAGCGCTTCCAACCCCGGTGTGACATATTCCCAGGTATGGTACCAAAACATCTGGAGGCCTCTCTGACTGTCACTAAACCTATTCTGGCACCCAAATGTAATACAGTGGAGCAGCAAGAGCTGGATGCTCCCATTGATCTCAGCAAAAAGTGTTCGCCAGTCCCTGAAAAGTCATGTAGCTCCCCAAAAAGACTGTTGGACTATCACGAATGTGCAGTATGCAAAATAAGTTTTAACAAGGTAGAGAACTACCTGGCGCACAAACAGAACTTTTGCCCCGCAACAGCCGCCGCTACTGCTGCCGCCACTCAACAGCAACAACAGCAGCAACAACACAACGAAACTGGAAGCCTGGAACCAACTCTGTTCCAAGACGTGAAAAATGAAAGCAGTAACAACCCTGAAGATGTTTATGAAAAGAGTTCAGGCAAATGTGACAAGAATGGGAAGGTGATGGTGCAAAATGGGGGGATGTTCCCACCTCACCTGGGCCCTGTGCCAGGACCTAAGACTTTTGCTGAGCCCCAACTCATCCAATCAAAAGATGAGAAAAGTATGTTTCTGCCCCACTGTCTTTATCCTGGGGCAATAAAGAAGACGAAAGGTCATGAGCACATATCCCCGTATTTTGGGATAAAGTCAACTGATTATGTGACTGGGGTTGCTGTGATGCAGGGTGAGGTTGGAGAACAAGACCAGAACGTTAATGGGGGAGAGGGCTTAGGAGGAGCAGATACAGGAACAACCAGAGAGCAGGCCCAGCAGCCTGCAGCTAATGGCTGCCCCCACACTGGCAAGGAGCCCCTTCCACTACTGCCAAAAAACCGGGGTATGGTCATTGTCAATGGGCATAAGCCAGAGGAGCGTTCAGGTAGCACTCCAGCACAACAGGAGAACCAGCCTCAGCCAGAGATCCAACCTTCTAACGCCTCACCTACGTGGGCCACAGAGAACCAGGCCGACTCCAATGAGAACATGTCACCTTCTTCCAAGTCTCCAAATGATGACGCTGCACCCACAGCAAACAAAGGCATGAATGGATCTGGAAGTGGCAAGTACTGCCGCCTCTGTGATATCCAGTTCAACAATCTGTCAAACTTTATTACCCATAAGAAGTTTTACTGCTCATCACATGCTGCGGAGCATGTAAAATAAGTTAAGACAAATAAGACTTTATTTTCTTCCTCTTCCCTCACCCTTTCCGTCAATTTTTACCCAATTTTACTCATTTTTTTGGTACACTGTTGTATTTGGAAAAGTGCATCATGCAGTGACAAACGCTGCTTGTGGACAATCAAGAAAAGCTTCTTCTTCCATTGTTTTAAGACTTAAAAATACAAAATCATTGATTAAAAAAGAAAAGAAAATGAATTAAGAATAATATTGGTGCCACTTTCTCATTAATTTATTTTACAATCAGTATTAATAGGGGTAGTGATCTTAATTTAACTTCAAAATGAAATTTATATCAGAGTTGTTTGTAATGTTATTGTATAGTCATTCTTGTGTAGCACACATATTGTTTACACTGTATTGTAGGCTCAATAAAACAATAGACAATACAAAAATGAGATGCATTTTAGACACAAAAAAAGCTACTGAGGCACTGTATTCTTATTTGCTGTACCCGTTTCTGTATATGGCCAAAATGTAACATGCTGTTGCTAATATGACTTGGTTGCCTTTAAAAAATCATCCTTTGGGAGTGATAACCAGGCACAACCCTGCATCTCACATTTTGGCTTATACACATGGCTTTGCATACATACGTGACTGTTTGTCCCTGTCTCTTTTCTTCAACTCAGATGTGGATGTTTCATGAGGATGGCAGCATTCTTGTATAGTACTCGTACTTCTGTTTGATGCTTAACTTTGGTCTCCCTTTTTTGAAAATTTCTCTCAATGCAATACTTTGTAAATTAGGGATCATTACTGAAAGCAGTATTATGAAATGGGGACTGTGCATATAATTATTTGTAACCCCATAGGGAAAAAAAGAAGCTGTACAAGAATTAAGTTTATTGCTGATGAACAAGATGGGGAGGTCAGTGGGGATACTGATGTAAAATGATCATTCCAATGTCCTAATTATGGGAGAAAATGTTTCTTAAAACGTTGTTGCTATGCATGTATATGGATGGAATTAAATTCCAAATCTGTTGGAAATTTTTATTTTGATGTGGTGTCATAATTAAACTTAAATCCTCAGGATAAACTAATGCTGTGAGGTCTTTCTTTTATACTGCATATACTCATCAACACAATGTTTGCCACAAAAATAAGAACAGTCAAAACAGTTAAAAACAGATTCAGTACAACAAGAATTTACAAAATGGTTTGCTGCTACACTTCTGTTTGAAGTTCATATACAAAATAATCAACCAAGAACCCATAAGAGGTCCAGAGTGGTTGTGATTTATCCCACAGTCGTAGTCACAAAAGACCAAGACTAAAGCTGAAAACTGACACAGAGAAAGGGGAACTTGATGCAACTTTCTTTTGGCCAGAACATACAGAACTGACTGGTAATCTTAGTAGTCATTGAGCAATGACTGCTGTGGTCTTTAGCTTAATAATGAATATTGTATTATTCAAGATTTTTGTTATTACTTAAGTTGGCAAATATTTAATCAAACTAATTGGCATGCATTTATTTCCAGCTACAAAATCTTCAAATGAACTTTGCAAAAACATTATCAAAAAGATACCATTAATATTTAAAGAGTATTAACTAATGGAACCAATAGTCTGTCTATGTTTTGGATTCTGTTATATGCCGGCCGTGGGTCACTCCCTCTGCTGTTGGCCTTGCCGTTGGTTGACAAGCTTCCTCAGGTGCTGGCTGATTACAGATGGCTTTTTGTAGATCATTCGGCGGTCTGCTCCTTTTATGTGAATGTGATTGGCTGATGGACAGGTCTCTTCGAGAAACTTCTTTTGAAGCTCAGCAACCATCTGGTTCAGAGAAATAATTTACTGTGAGGTTTACACAACTGAATATTGTTTTGTAACTGTATGCAGCTCAGAGAAGTGCAGCTACAGCAATCATTCTCACCTGGTTGAGTTGTTCTGGTATCTGCTGGTCAAAGGAATCCCCAGTGATAACACTCACAGGTATTCGGCTGGTGAGGGGCTTAAACTTTGAGATATCCCTTTAAAAGAAAATATAAATGCTCATGTGGTTAAATATTTAGGTATTTGTTTTGACCTTTACACTACACACACACTTGACACAAGACCTATCAAAAATAATGCACACATGTCTGTTTGCCATACCTTACTTGTGCTGCACTTTCATTCAAAAAGTAATGTTCATCCACAGCACTGCTCTGGTGTGCAGGGTTGCTTAGTAGATATTTCTATTTGAGAAAATGAAAGTCGTTTAAAATCTCAAATGCAGACACATTTTTTCTCACACCTCAGTCATGACATTGCCTCCTGGTGTGAGACAAGACAATAAAACAAGCCATAACCAAGTACTTTGAACATGATTAAAACACATAAACTTAACAAATTAAACATGCATTGCTCTCAAATGTAAGGAATATACATTTAGTGTTTGTTTTTAACCATAACCTACATTTATCTGTTGAATCAAACAGGCTGGGGTTAGTGGCATACCTTTACCTTTTATCAATTATCATGATTAAAAGTAGTGTGAAATATAAAACACAGTTCTCAAATGTTCTTTTAGCTAAATCACACATGAACGGCAGTCATTGCACAGCTGTCCAGATTCTCCATCTAGATTTGAAATCTCAAACCAAGTCGGGTTTCCCTTCAGCTCTATTTCTCACTCACGTGATGAGACTACATATATTGGTGCTGTTAACGTCCCAGCAAACAATTTTGCTCCAAGTTCAATTAAGCAGTGGTTACAGAACATGCCCTTGAGAAATGGACTGTATGCTCTACTGAGTCTGGCAAGCTTATGAGTGTCTGTGGCTGTTATAACCTTCACTAGCCTGTCTACAAAACCTTTTTCTGTCCTTGGAGAATTCAAGCACAATGATGTCCTTATCTCCTTGGCAACGATTTAAATGCTTGAAAGCTCAAATAAGTCCCTTATCACCCCTGCCATCAAATCATGGGTGGCTGTCAGCAGGGAACAAGGAGTCTTAACGAACTGTTCACAATAGTCCTCAATCAGCCTTTACAGTATCATAAGGAAGCTGCAGGGGAAAAGACATATTACTGAGTGCTTGATAGAAATGTCACAAAGTGTTGAATAATATTTTCATTTTGCTACCAAAAATAAAATTGTTTGTATTTGAAGTTTTTAGTTTAAATTCAATAAAAAGCATCACAATACCTCTTGCGATTATCTTTCTATGTTCTTGCAACCCTTAACATAATTATTTGTTTCCCTTTTGTCAGTGATTGTCAAGATATAAAATGATTCAATATAACCAAAGATATTGGTTGTTGTTCATCAGTAAAATCCATCTCTGCTGCTGATTTTCCAAAGCAGGTAGAAACGACTACAGAATGTCATCACAGGCAGGCATGTCACTGGGTGAGTGTTTAATTCACATTCATGGCAGAGCTGAGTCTGGACAAGTGCAAAATGGAAATCCCTCCCTTAAAGAAACACATCTTCTGCAATAGACAGGCAAAAGCTTGTAGTATATATTAACAAACAATTCCTCACAAACTGTCTCACCTGTCAAAAGGCTGAGTTTGAAATATTGCAGGCATCGGGGGATACAGTGCAACTGTAGCTTCAGCTTTGCAAAATGGTTCAAATATCTATTTTCAAATGATGCCTGGTGCCATCTCACACACAGTATATGACAACATTAAGGCAAAATTTTGCAATCACAATCTACCTGTATGTCTGCTGAGGAGAAGAAGTGATTATACTAACACTAGCACCATCCTGTGGCTGTACTGGAAAGATGTGTGAAGTAGACCAGTTTACCACATATAACTGTAGTATTCCCTAGCAAACAATATGCTCAATTGCAGGTATTGGTGTGGAGATGAGAGGGAAGATTTTCCAAGGAAAAAAAGTTGAAGGGAACAGCACTCCTGTTAAAAAATTGTTTGAATCTATCAAGTTGTTGTATGACACACATGGCTGTTTAACACGGTTTCATGACCATTAAAATATATGTCATTTATTGTGTTTAAAGGCATAGAAATACTGCAACAGCCCATAAGCCAATAGAAAGGACTGTTCATGCAACATAACCAGTTCTCTAGATGCATTTCTGTTTAAAGGGGCTATATGTAACTTTTTACATGTATAAATCGTTTTTTTATCGCCCATTAATAAGCGAACAGTTAACTGATGTGAAAAAGTACATGTTCACTGTCTAGCTGTCTATCTAGTTTCCCCGGGTTGTATTTTCCGCAAAAGCTCCAGGAAGTGACATTTTATGCACGTTCTCAACGTCCTCCTCACTCCAACAGGTTACTGGTGCAGTTCGCCTAACTGGTGAAGTTCGCCTAACGGCCATGGGGTATCACTATATTATATGTTACATATAGCCCCTTTAAACAGCGGCGTCTTTGCTTGTGTCTTCAGGTATGCTACAAGCGTACAAGAAACTGACTGTGGTTATTTGAAGGCTACCTTGTCACTTTTTGACAACCCCTAAGACCTACTGATCCTTATACTTGATACTTTGTTTATGGCACAGGAGCCACAGGGTTACTCTGATGTAAACAAAAAAAGTTTACTGTAGTAAAGTAAAAAGACAGTTACTGCAACAACAACAAAAAAAATTGCATTTCAACCTGTTAAGCTCATATTTACCCAGAATTTATGAGGTGGTGATGCCACCAAATTTCCCCCACGGGGATCAATAAAGTTTATCTTTATCTTTTATCTTTAATACTTTTTTTCAGTGTGTGGGTGTGTACATTAACCTGACCTGGCGCTGCATGAACTCCTCAGAGACATTTTCGCCTCCTTTAATAGTTGGTTCGATAGCCCCAAGGATAATCAGCATACGACTCAACCCTGTAGCTGCCGAAAACTGCCTGACTTGGAGTGATGGCAACAGCTTACCATACCTGAAAAACACAAAAATATTCACATAAATAACTTAATATACCAGCTAAATTAAGTGTTCTTTGCTGGCTTGCTGCCGCAGTACAATAACCCTAGGTCAAACAGCAAGTTTGAAAATTCATTCATTCATTCATGTCAAAAAATGTGTTTTAAAAATGTGAATTCAAAAGGGATTGTAACACTGTTGAATTAATAGACAATCAACCACTTTTGTTATTTTTTTTTGTTATTTGTAAGTATGTACATAATTAAACTCTATTTTTATATGTTATTATTGATTAGTGATGCCTGTTAATGTAATCATTAAAGCCACCCTGAATCACTGTCATTGGTTTTCAAAAAGTCAGTTGAGTTTACAAACAGTGGGAAGATGTAAATGATCATATTACTATTTATTTCTTAATGGCTCCATGTCAAAAAGCAATATATTCATAGCAACATAACATTATAAATGTTAATACAAAAATATATGTGCTGATTTATCTCTCTTTTTTTCAAAACAAAATCTGGAAGCTTCCAGAATGAGAAATACACTTTCTTTAGGGATAACATTACATGAGTAGAGTATGGGATTTTGTAACTCGGGAGGCTCAATTGGTCTTGGCTCAGTGGTGCTTTGAATTGGCTGGTCTCAGCTTGTGGAGTCTGATCAATAGTGCTGTGCTCCTGCTAGGATCAGCACATCATACAATTTGCTTCTACATACAGCCAACAGCAGCACTGGGAAACACTTAAGACTGTATTTGTCTTACATGTGATCTAGCTCACACTGACAGCACTGTACCCCTGTGGACTACTTATTTTCTCTACTTCATCCAATCTGATAGTAAATGTTATGTCTGATAAGTAACCATGAATGACATCACCAAACACATTTACTAATTGATTAAGCATCTGCACTTTTTGAAATAAAAATACACCAAAATAAATTGTAGTTTTTTCTTGTGTGTGTGTGTGTGTGTGTGTGTGTGTGTGTGTGTGTGTGGGGGGGGGGGACTTGTAATAGTGGTATTGCAAGCCTATGTTTATTTAAGTATTTTTTGAGTCTGTTAATTCTGTCAATCAAAATGAACAAATTGAAAACAAAAATTGATGGTGAAACCTCTGTTCATTATGCCCAGACCAATAAAGACAAGATAAATGAGTTGTTGGAGCTGACAAGCAGAGTTTGATCACAGAGTTTGATCCCTTTTAACCGAGCATTTATCTGGAACAAGTGTGTTGCGGGTACAAGATGTTCCTGTCGTCATGCATCTTTTTCACTTGTAATAGGATGATGCTTTCCAGATGCATGTCAGTGGTTAGCCTAACCAAACTAAGCTACTCCTGGGCACTGGTGTCTCAAATACCATCACCCTGTCAGATGGAAAGGATCTGTGGACGTGGATGTTTTATAGCAGCTTGTAGCACCATGTATTGCGCATTATTTGGTCAAGTTTACAAGCATATTGAGGCAATGATATTCAGGTTCATGCATGCTTTAAAAGTTTGCAGCTCAGTTGTGTTTGCACCTTGTTTGCATCTGATTGTGGAGATGTGCCATAAGCATCTATACTCTTCTGTGTGGCGCTAGGCTCTCATCCGGCAGAGAAGGATCCAGAGGTATTTCAGGGATGCCACCATATTGGTATTCCTTAAATTTGACAGGAAATTTGCCCCAAATCCTGAACAATGATTTGTCTTGTTATAAGCAGGACTTAAGTTGAAATCAACAACTTGGGCTGTGTTAGGGGCTACGAGTAGTTTTCTTTGCATTTCAATGTGACACATTTACTTTTATTAATACTGTTATTGTTACTTTGGACTGACATATTCTATATGAGTCCTTTTAAAAATTAAACTATAATATTTTAATGTTGGCACTTGGTTGTTTTACTTTTTAAAGTACAAAAAATATACACAGGAATACAACATCTTTTAGATGTCCTACATGTTAGAATTTATGCACACAGGTTTCATGCAACCCCCTGTATAAGTAAACACCCCAGCATAAATAGGATCTAGATCTGATTGGATGGGGCTCAATAATTCCACATATAGATAATGATCTGAGCAATCCTTTTATAGCTGTGAGTGTCCGTTTTTAGATAGCCAAGATGAATAAACAATGTATGGTATTTTAATTTCTTATTAGATTTTTTTTACAGCCAGAAGAAATATCTTCCCGCAGAATCCATGTAAGTATCATGAACATAAAAATGATAGCTAAATCTTTGACTAAAATGTAACTCAAATGAAAAGTTGGCTAGAAGTGACTAAATCTTTACTAAAACAAAAGACAACACAAAGACTTAAATGTGAAATCAACTTCAATGTTAAACTAAATTAAAATATCTTGTCAAAGTTAACACTGTTATAAGTAATTTAATGTATCAGCTACTTGATGCTTGCAATTACATTTGGTAAAGACACCAATGTAAGTTGATTTAGTGAACTTTGGTGTTATTAAACCAACATTTTTTTTTTAAACAGGGTTCCGCAGTTGAGAGTCAAATTAAATACAAAGCCGTATGTGCCTTTAGTGCAAGAATAAAAAAACTATATATTTTTTAATCCTGAGTACCTACGCAATGCCATTCTGAGTAGTCTCCATGCAGAATCCCCCTATCCCCCATTCTCGCCCTGCAAACTAGAGGTGACACTCATTGGGTGAATATTTACTAGCTTGCTTCTAACATGCAAGATTACACAGGGAGCAACAGGCATAGACAGCAGCTACAACTGAGTCATGACTAGACCATCTATGCTATATTAAAATAAACACAACAGTGAGCAGTTTCCAAATGACAATTTCCTAAAAATAAAAACCCCAAAATCTTTTTCCTTCAAACTTTCAAAAAGTGGAATCCATCTTTTGTGTTGCAGGGTCAAACTCATCAATGATGCCCTGAACAGCTAAAGGACTTCTTCTCTAGTGTAGACAGAAACAGTGACAGCTTTCGGTTTTTGGCATTATCGGAAATGTTCTGTAGTGGTTTCTTCATTAAATTATATTAGAAGTTAAGGTGAAGCTGAGGTCATTGGCAGGGTTGTTTAAATACATATGAGTTAGGGCTGGGAAATATGACAAAAAACATTATCACAATAAAAATGTTCATATCACAACGATAATTATCACAATAAATGTCAAATAATGATATCTTTCAAATTTAAAAGGCAGATGTTTGTTCCTCAGTAAGGTTAAGAAACCATATGGTAAATTATGGCTTAATCATTTGTTTATTTTTTCAGATCATTACTAACTATACTTGATCAGAGGAACATTTCACAATCATAAGAACAGTGCACGGTGCTAGAAAACACTGATAGGAGAGTTTACACACTTTCACACTGGGTCGTTTGGTCATTTGTGGCTTTCGGTGTGTTCTGACAGGTGATATAGTTTCAAATGGTGGAGAAGGTTTGTGGTGTTGCCCGTTTAAGAACATAAGCAAGGCTGTGTGCATCTACTTGTTTTCTCACCCTGTCTTACATTACCTTTTGTTTTCACATGTGGCTACTATATAGGCAGTTTGTGTTAGCATGGAGAGGGGTTGCTCCGGGAAGCCAGAGCCAACTGTTAAGCTTCCCAGAGGTGTTGCAGGCCTAACTTGACAAAACACCAGTGAAAGGAGTTGCCCACTTGATAAACTCAGTGATGTCCTGGCTCTTGCTGCCCATCTATCTACTCCATGGAGTAATGAGGGATATTAGGGTCTATATTATGTGACGGATGGTAAATGAACTTGAACTTGAGCAATCCAGGGATAAGTATCTTGCCCAAGGACACAGCGGACATGTTGCTGCAGGAGCTGGGGGTCAAACCCTTGACCTTCCAGTTGAGAGATGCAACTCTCATATCAGGTCATTAGGGTATAATTGGGTGGATGGGTTGCTTCACTTAGTGCTTATCCTTTTTATAATGTATCTTGTGTTTTTATATCACATTTGAACGATGGATTAAACCTAAAGAAATGATTGCTCAGATAAAGTTGATACCAGCAGCAACGAATGGTGCTTAGCTGTTACAAACAGCTGTTTGAAGACAACATATCTGCCACATTCATTTCAAACAGACAGACCTAAAAGCTTAAAAAAAAAAGACACAGGTAGCAGGTGTAAACGATACAAGAAAACTGTGGGGATTTTATAAATCAGATGTGTCATTTGACATTCTCAGCCCCCTTCCCCCCAAAGAAAAATAATAATCTCGAAACACAATTCAGAACTGACTCTCTTCACCTGTCTCTTTTTACTTAGCTCTTGATATAAAAACACAGTCCCTGAAAGCTGGCTAGTACAAATCTGGTTGAATCATTCTCAGGCCTACACATTGAACACTATTTCAAGGATTCTCCAGCCACCTGTCCTATTCCCACCTCTTTTTTCCATTTTTAATTCTGCCCTGGAGTGAGGATTATGTGAAGCAAGGCATGCGTGTCAAAGGGAAATTTAGTGGGTAAAGACAGCCAAGATTGGCGGATGAATTAAACAGATAACAGGAGGAGACGAAGTGGGGGAACCATGTAGAGCAAAACGCCTCACCGATGTTGGTCATTTCAGAGGGCTCTTTTTTTCCTCCCCACAGGAGCGAGGAGGCAATATCTAAATTAATAAAGTGATGAAATGAGTTTGTGCGGTGGACTTTCTGCTGTTTGACTTTCCCATCTGGATTAGTGCAGGCTGAATGGACGCTCTGTTACTTTTGTTACAACTGCGCAATTCACTGTCGGAATTTGGACCTGAAGTGATAAGGTTCCCCTCCTCCTCCTCATTACCATCTCATTTCATATGCAGGGCCTCTGTTACCTGAGAGCCTGCTCACTCACAAAACACGAACTATTACACAGGCTTCTTCCAACTATTACAATGAGCAAAGTACATTTTAACACATACTATTACAAAAAGCTCAGCTGAAATAAGACAGAAGGCATATTTTTTCTAAAAGAAACTAGTTGCAGTGCAGACTAGTACAAAAAAGCCAAAATTGTACATGGAGCATAGCTAAAGCAGCAGCCAGCAC